TTGCTACAATTTTTCATCCAACATTATTTTTGTGAGACTTGTTCTCAGCATTAAATATATTAAACGAACAAAAGAACCGGCTAACAGATGAAGTTAGTGGCGCTTGCTTGGCCTTGAAGTGCACCAAGTATGAACCTGCAATAGAAGAATTAGCAGACAAACTTCAGCACCAAAAAAGTCACTAATTTCTAGTTTTCGTACCATTTGACTATCATTGTTTTTATTATTATTTTTTCCTAAATGTACATTGTTTTTCTGTTTTTGTTCATTTTATACATATTTTTGGTTGATTTTTCTTTGTTAAATGGCATTTAAATATATAATATAAATATCAAAAATATAAATCTTTTTTTTACTATGGTTGATATTGAATATCAAATATTAAAAAAAATTATGAATATTTCTATATGTGACATGGCACCAGAGTTAAGTTAGGGTTTTTCAAAATTTTGACATGCCAAGCTCAAAAGGTTCGCCATCACTGATCTAGGTTAGCACACCTTTGAAATGCCAGAGTGTCACCCTCAAGGGAGGCATAACCACTCTCAAGGAAGCACATAATCTTGTTAACTGCCCTGTAATCCAATCATAGAGATTTCCCCCACCTTGCTTTTTTCCTTCCTTCATGTCATCTTCCTTACAGATTCCTTTTTTTTCTCCAAATGTATAAAAAGAAGTGCAAATCTGTCATTCATTGAAGCATCTGAGATCTTGCTTCACCGCAACAGTTGTCAGTTTGGGCTCAAAAAAAGCTCTTATAAAAATTATCTACAGATCTTGCCAGTGGAAAGCGTGTTCTTTCACAGGATCTCAAGGAAAGCATTCCAGGGACTCATGTATGGGAAATTGTGGCATGGTAAGATTTGTTGGTAGCGTGAAATGCAAAATCAAAGGAGTGCTCCTGGATTCTCAATGTCCCCATTTCTGTCCATCCTGCCAAGGAAAAATTCCAATCTTGCCCCATCAGGCCCAGAAATAGGGCCAGTGTCCAGAGATTCTGTCCTTTATTAAAGCTTAGTCCTTTGGAGACCACATGGTCTGCAGCAGGCCCCAGGGGTGCTGCGCACAGGTTGAGCACATGTTATTGGGTAGGCAAGAGAGAGAGAGAAAGCACTCTTTGTTAGCTGGGATTATATTACCTTGGGTTTGGGAAGGTGCTTTTTCAAAATAACCAGTCAACTTCCCAAGCTTTCCTGGGCTTGCGCTAGGTCGGCCTTCCAACCAATCCATTTCCTTTTCCCAGGCTAAACAGACAGGCCTCTATGGTCACCATTTAGGCCCTTACTGTGCATGTGCTTATCTCCCCCTTTACTGTTCTATCCTATCCCCGTGATCTGTGGGGAATGGACCAGTGGTTCTCTGGGGAGTACATGAAGCTACACCTTCCTTGGGAAGCAAGCCTTTGCTCCCTAGTTCATTATGCTTAATAATGTCTTATTCCCTTTGCTGCCTTCCTTTATTAATATCTAGCTACCTACGCTAACACAGGTTTGGATGCTCTTATGCCAACACTACATATCTTTTTCCACACTCCCCTAGTTTCCCAATTCAGTTTTCCCAGTCCCTAACAATATTCTAATCCTTTACTTCCGGTTAGTCAACAAGCATACCTATTTTAAAAAGCTCAGATGGGATGGGAAATCAGTCATTCAGAGCCTACTGTAAACTAGGCCACACTACCTGCTTTCTCCTTACCCTGGAAGTCATGGGTATTGGAAAAGTAATTTTTCATCAGTGTGTTTGCTTCATTGTATTCATACTTTACTTGTATATTCTCACTGTAAAAGTCTCACATAATACAGAAATTGACAAAGTAAATCAAGTTTTGATTGGGGCATCATCAAAGGAAGTAATTTTGGATTTTAAAAATCTACCTAGGAACAATACTCCATATCTGAGTGTGCTTATAAAGTGGAGAGCCTGAAGAAGTGTGTGTACCTGCACCCCTGGAAAGAAGGGAGCAGAGTGGAGAAGGCAGAGTTCAAAGGACACCAAAGACAAACTTTCTATAACCAAAACTGTCTAAGGCTAGTTCAGGGAGTGACTCCTCCTTACTCACTCTGCACTCAGCCTTCTTAACCTTGATCCTCTCCCTCAATCCAGAATTAGTAACTTACTAGTGACAGGGTTCAGGACATGCTACCCCAAATATGGTACCCTGGGATACTAAATATTTAAACTAAAGGACATGAGAA